ATGTACGATTTTTTGAGGAATATTAATTATTTGCCTGCAATAAGTATACAAAAACATTTATTGTTGGTTTCCATAGTTTCATCAAAATAAAAATATTGTCAAGTTTTAACACCTAATCTCTTGTTAACGATTGAAAGTGTTCTATCTGACTCAATAATTAAAAAAACAAATGAGTGGTTTATTAATATGGCTGTACAATATACCAATGCAGAATATACCGATATGTTACTGACATTAGGATTTTGTGAAGGAAATGCTCGAGAGAATGTCAGGGTGTACTCTGAAAGGTTTCCAAATCGTCGTGTACCTAGCCACCCAACTTTTGCTGCTGTTGAGAGACGTCTTCGGGAGACCGGTGTCTTTGCTCCCAACACTGTTGATAATGGAAGAGATTCTTTTGTAAGGATTCCTGAAGTTGAAGAAGACATTTTAGAACGTGTTGAAGAAGATCCAGAATTAAGCACCAGACGAATTGGAAGGGAACTAGGATTAAGTAAAGATGTCGTTCATAAAGTGCTTAGAGAACAATTGCTATATCCATACCATAAGAAGCCAGTACAAGAATTATTAGTACATGATCCTCAAATTCGTTTGGGTTTTTGTCGATTTGTTAATATGCAAAGAGAAAGAGATCCAAACTTTGTCAAGAAGGTTTTCTTTAACGATGAAGCGGGTTTTACAAGAAGATATATAACTAATACCCATAATGAACATGTTTATGCCGTTGAAAATCCGCATGCAATAAAGGTAAACCATTTTCAAAACGAATTCAAAATTAATGTGTGGGTTGGAATAATTGGTAATTTCATTGTTGGTTCTGTCATACTTCCACGAAGATTAACAGGAGAAAATTATTTGGATTTTCTACAAAATACGTTGCCAGAATTGTTAGAAGATTTACCTATCCAACTTTGGAGAGATATGTGATTTATGCAAGATGGAGCTCCACCACATTTTTCTTTAAACGTTAGAAACCACTTGAATGAACAATATCCACACAAATGGATAGGCAGAGGTAATGACGCACCTGTAAAGTTGCCACCACGTTCCCCAGACCTAACACCGATGGATTACTTTTTATGGGGACATCTGAAATCCACAGTTTATAGGGAACCTGTAGAAAATGAGGAACAACTCTGGCAATGTATTCAAGATGCAATAAACAATCTTAGAGGTGATGAAGAAGTTATGGAAAGGATACATTTTAATTTTCTCTTTTAATTTTCCTCCGACGTATAAATCTTTGTATGCGTGAAAATGGTAAACATTTTGAACAATTTTTGTAAAATCTCTATTTTGATTATGTTGTAAATAAATATTTTTGTGAAACCTATACACTCTAAATTATTAAAACAGAAATTTAGCGAAACCATGAGAGTAATCGAGTCTTATCACGAGTACCTTTTTTAAAGTAAATGAATTGCGCAATCTAAATTTCATACTCAAACTCCTTTTCTTCCATTGGCGTAGAATTTTTAAAGGTGCAATTATTTAAAAATCAAGTTCTACGCCTATGTATTATTATCGGACAAAATTTTAATACCATTTTTTTGCCACATAAAACTCTACCAATATACCAAATTTCAGCAAAATCGCATATGCCGTTTTAAATTTATATGGGAAAAACGATTTAAAAATTGTAACTTCAAGTCCCTCTGGAGCCCAAACGAAGCAACTTTGTACTAAGGCAATTTTACTTAAATTGACTTATTCTGGTCTAAGGAATATGTGGTATGTTTTTGTAAAGACCTTTTACAGACACCCTGTATAATGCTGATAGTATCATTAATTCTCTAGTTTTTTTTTGTATAGAGGATGACACACCGAAAACTTCCCACCCTGAATATGAAAAAGTCACGTATTCAAAAAAATTAAAAACCAAACGTGTAGACTCGATATTCCTTTTGTTATTTAATTCTATACGAGGATATATCAGTATATAACGAGACTGGTGCTATAACTTCTTTCAGAGGTACCATTTTATAACCCAAAAAATGAGACATGAAAGCCTTATATTTAATGTACTACCCCGCAAGTAGGCTTTGATTTAACTTTTGACATTTGTTACAATTTAATTATTGAATTGTCAGTGTTTTGCGTACCCATCGAAAAATGAAAGTGGAGCAAAGATACGCGATAAAATTTTGTGTTCGATTGGGTAAAACACCAACTGAAACTTTTGAAATGATTAAAGGTGCATATCTAGATAATAGTTTATCACGATGTAGAGTGTTTGAGTGGCATAAAAAGTTTAAAGACGGTTGTGAATCAGTTGAAGATGAACCTCGTCCCGGTCGACCACAAACTGCGAGAAATTACACAAACATTGCAGAAATTAACGACTTGATACAAAATGATCGCCGGATTGGCATAAAACGAATTTATGACAATGTTAATTTGTCTTACGGTACCACTCAAAAAATTATTCATGAAGATTTAGAGTACCGGAAGATCGCGGCAAGATGGATTCCAAAAGTGATGACCGATGAACAAAAAGCGAATCGAATGACAATTTGTCAGCAGTGGAAAAGGCAATTGCAACGTAACCCACAGTTTTTAAATAATGTGGTTATATGTGACGAAAGTTGGTTTTATCATTACGATCCTGAATTGAAGTCTCAAAGTATGCAATGGAAGCATAAAGGCAGCCCAAGACCGCAGAAGGCCAAAACTGCTAAAAGCGCTGGTAAAGTGATGCACCTGTTTTTTTTTTTGATAAATTTGGCGTTATTTACGATCACATTGTACCTAGAGGATATACAGTAACAGGGGAGTACTATTCTAATGTACTTCGAGGACCCTTAAAGGCAAAATTAAAGAAAAAAAGGCCGCTTTATCAGGACTTTGGCTGGACGCTGCATCACGACAATGCTCCGGCTCATAGATCAATGATTTGTCAACGAACAATTGAAGAATTAGGGGTTGAAATTATGGTTCATCCCCCCTACTCTCCTGACCTTGCTCCATGTGACTTCCATTTGTTTACTGAAGTCAAAAAAGAATTGAGAGGTAGAATATTTGAGTCGGATTTAGAGCTCAACAACGCTGTGATAGGTATACTAAACAGACTATCAAAAAATGGTTTCTCAGAAGTTTATGATAAGTGGATAAAGCCATGGAATAAGTGTATTCAACAGAATGGACAGTACTTCGAAGGATAGTTATTGAATTTTTTTAAATAAATGTTTCGTTGTTATACTATAGCACCAGTCTCGTTATTTTCTGATACATCCTCGTAGAATAATTCTTGTTTAAATACTAATCTGAAAACCAAGAATCTCAGTGCAAGCACGTTGAAACTTCTGTAACTTTAAAACGCAATTTTTCGGAACCTGCTGTTCAGAAGATAATATAAACTAGGGTACCATTGGAAAGATAAAGATAATTAAACGCGCTTTAAAATGATGTACCACTTGACCCCCTTTCCCATTCATGATTTTAAAGGTAATATCTACCCTTCCTAGGAGGTTGAGCTACAAATGTAAAAAGTATTCATTGTAGATGCCTTGAAAAAAATTTTTTTTGCGTGTTTTCGTTTTAATTACTAAAAGGATATTATTCAGAGTTGGACGTATTAGATGTGTCACCCTGTATCATTATAAAATAAAGGAGATTTACATAGTGTTATTAATATTTTGTACTGCTACTACTACTATATTTTATACAATATTTCTAATATATTTTTCTATAGAAGGGTTGATCATCCTGCTTCAGACTATTATCATATATAAGGTGTCCCATCAGTTCGTAATTGATCGATAGCTGTTTTATTATTGGAGATACGAAGAAATTTTGAATACTAAAATTGACGACCAAACTTTAAAACTATTCTTAAAGATACAGGGTAGTCAATAAATAAATGGCGAACCAACCATACTTGCTATACCAAACACTCTAGTTAATTTTTTAAATTATTAATGTTATTTTATGCTACCAATTTATTAATTTATTTATTTTTTATATTGTTTGGCATTCTGTACTCCAACGCATTTTTTTTTTCTCAAAATTTTGATGGTTTTATTATGAAAATTGACAACTTTTGTATTCAAAAATAATAAAACAGATATCGATCAATTACCCACTGATGGAACACCCTGTATAGAGGTTTTCTTCCGGAAAATTTAGCTAGCAAACAAAATGTTTTCCACACAGGATCTGCTATTCCCAAAAATTCCTTGTTAACGTAGGAAAATTGCTAAACTACATCTTAAAACATTTTATTTACGTTTTATCACCCTATTAGGATCTCATCATCAGTTTCCGTACTCTATAAATCCGCGGAAAACGGCCCGGAAAAACTGCGTTCATTGATTTTTCCCTACAGGAGTCTATTTCGCTCGAAAATAAAAAGTTGCCGAACAAGGATCAAGTGTAGTGCGTAAAAAACGGTTGTGTGTTCGAAATAATAAAATATTTCGGGGGAAATCGACAGTAAACTAACCTTATCCTGTCAATGCGGAAGATGATTTAGTACAAATTGAGAAGAAGGTTATTTATATCGTGGAAAGGATATTGGAAGGATTTTTTTAACAAGGATCGTCGACTGTGAGAGTTTTATAACATTTTTATGTTTAAATATACTCTTAATATTACACGCATTCATTAATACAGCTTATACGTTTCATAAATATCATAATATAACAAAAATATCAACCAAAATATAACAAAAATATAACAAAAATATAACAAAATATAACAAAAATATAACAAAAATATAACAAAAATGTAACAAAAATATAAAAAAAATATAACAAAAATATAAAAACAAATATATGACGAAAATATAACAAAAATATAATAAAAATACAACAAAAACATAAAAATGTAACCAAAATGAAACAAAAATATATATTAAAATAAATATAACAAAAACAGGTGCTTTCATTTTTAGATAGTAGATCTAGAAGTACTGTAGATTTTTTCTTGATATTTTTACGACAAAATCAAATAGGTTTTGCGAATAATTTATATTTGTTAGGCATGAAATATGAATGGCTTACCTTTGGAATTCAGTGGTGAGAAGTTTGAGCCTCGACCTGCAGCGAGCCGCCTCGTGCAGCGCCTGCTTCGCTCTGGTCTCGCTGTCGGCTCGCAAACGTCGTTCGCGGTCAGCATCCCTCTGAGCTGATTCCCTCTGAAACAAAATAAAAACAATTTAATATCTTGAAAACAGACATAAGAAAAAATGTACTATCTTTTATCTCCCTTTTGACATGTTTTTCGCTTGCACGCTTTGCAATTAAAAAATAATAATATTAGTAGATTTAAATTTCAAAGCTAAACTAACTGACGCCTATGTATAACTAATATTATTTGAAATTAAACACATCTTGTAATAGATCATCCTATAAGAGGATGTCTTGTAGCAGTCTCCAAGGAAATGGATTAGGTTCATGGGTGATGAGAAAAACCTTATTTCAAGAATTATTTAGAACCCCTCTAAATAATTCTTTACAATAGGCGCAGTCAGAGCAAAACGAACCAATTATTCAAATTGACTATGGTAAAGGAGATGAAGGTACCCAAGACAAGATTGTTTTTGGAAAAAAGGAGTTGGATCAGCTAATGTCAAAATGGATGACGTTTGCCACTTTAACTAAAACAGATCTTACAAAAATTTCTCAATACGATGGGCAAGGTGAGAATACTTCTTCTTTGCTCAGTTCGTATGAATGTATCTGTTCAGATAATAAATGGATTACGGCTAATGAGAAAATTTTTAAACTAAGAAATTAGTTAAAAGGCATTGCATTAAGCTGGTACGAAGGTAGAATCCAAGATAGTATACTAAATCAATATACATAGGAAAATTGGAAGTTTTATCAATACGTTTGATGAAAATATTGTTTTAAAATGGGAGAAAGCTGTGAATTATAAATATTATAATGGTATTATCCTAGAATACTTTTACGAAAAACAAAAACTAATAAAATGGGCAGATAGTAACGTTTCTGAACTTTCATTAGTGGCAATGATAATTCTGGGTCTTCCCATTGGTGTTCAGAAACAGTTAAGAGACAAAATCATCAATTCCAAAGAAGAACTTCTCCAACTACTAAAATCCTTAATGGTTGGTGAATATCCTGATAGACAGTGGCCAAGAAGAGATTCTCAAATGCATGGCCAGCAATTAAGCAGTAATAAGAAAGAAATAAGATGTGAAACTAAAAATGTGTTTAATGCTAGTAATGTTGAATGCAATATTGAACCAGAAGACCAAATAAATATTAGTGAAATTTATTCTAGTTATTTTCTGACAAATGGAGATCATTTTGAGTATTTACATTTAAATGGTCAAAAGGTGAAAGTACTCTTTGATACTGGATCAGATATTAATCTGATTGATGAAAAATTAGTAAATAAAAATAAATTTCCTGTTCATGAAGCGTCTATTTGCATAAAGAGCTTAGCTGGAATAACCAAATGTTTCTTCAGAGCTGAAGTAACTATTGAAATCAATGAACAGCTCGTAAATTTTATGGCCGCAGTAGTAAAAGATTTAAATTTTGGTATACTTTTAGGACGGCATTTACTAAATAAATTGAAAATATTTAAATTAAATTGGAACTCAGAAAAAGAAAATTAATTTACACAAAACAATATAGCCAAAAATTTTCCAAATTTACTAAAATATAATGATTCAAAACCGTCAAACTTTGAATTAGATTTTAATTTAAAAGAAAATGCAAAAATTGTTAAGCTGAAACCCTATCGATATTCAGAAAACAAAAGAATATGAATAAAGAATAAGGTTAATGAGTTACTTAAAAACAAAATAATTACGAAGTCAATATCTCCTTTTGCTTCACCGTGGTTTTAAATACAACATCTGATAGGAACTTTCGGTTATGTATTGATTACCGAAAAATTAATGAGGAAAACTGAATTAAATCCATTTCTTTTTCCAATCGGTGATGAAATCATTCAAAAATTTGGTGGATGTAAATTTTTCTCAAAATGTCTTTTAGCGGTCTCCTGGGAAATAGATTAGGTTGATGGGTGATGAGAATTGTCATAATAAATAAATTATTAAACTTGATCTAAGAAAAACCTTATTTCAAGAATTATTTAGAAACCCTTTAAATAATTCTTTACACCTCTATGTCAAGTAGGCCATTGAGAGCATAAATAGAAGTGACGCCTTGGTCTTACACGCATTTATTATCTAAAATCTCACCTATACACATCAATCATTAGACCATATTCGTAAAACCGTACCAAATACTTTTACTTTAAAATTTTCAGTCACTTTTGGGTTATCACATGAGAAAACTTTTAAGTTAGAAAATACGAGAAATTTCAAAATTAAAGGAAATGCATTGGCTTCGGTTTTATGAACATGACCCATTGTCTTACTATACACAAGCCAGCATTTTTTATTTAAGTTCTAAATAAATAAGTCTTTTTCTTTGGGATGCCATGTCAAATCGCAGAAGATTGATATTTTGTTGTTATTGTTTGTCCATCGCCATTTTATTTATTATTTAAAAATGCTTGTCGATATTTAAATCCATTCAGTATAGAAAACGTTTCATTTGAAATAATTATCGATTGTGCTCTTTGTATGTATATTTTTCTATGTTTACCTATTTGAAAACCTACAGTAGATACGGATTTCTTAATTTTGTTTTTTTTTTATCAAAAACGTTGACAGTAAAAAAACAGTTCGTCGTTAAATGAAACGGAAAAGGTGGACTGTATTACTTCAATTACTGCTTCTTAGGAAAATATCATTAAAGGAGCCTCCCAAAAAAAAAAACAAACCGAGCTGTGCACTTAATAATCAAGAGAATCAACAAAATTTAAGCAAATATTTGAACGATCTTGTTACTGGGTTTAGTCTCGGTGGTATACGCTAAAAATAGTTTATTTTAAAAATGCTGGTCTTGTATAGCTTATAAGTTATATTGTAATAATATAAGTATTATAGGAAAATAAATGGAAAAAGTAATAATGTAGAATATGGCTGGAAATACAAATTCAAAAGAGATAAAGGAAGAAGTCATCATTGCTCAAAGCGGAAACTGGAGGCCAAAGAAATGGAACATAATTTTTTACTCCTGAAAATATAGTGGAAGCAATTTTTATGGTATTGGTATTTGTCTTTCTGTTGATGCTAGTTTACAAAACATGCAAGAAGATGATATAGAAAAATATGGCCAAACAAATTAGAACCAGCCAAGAATTAGACAAGAGAGAAGCACAGAAGAAATAATTTTTTTAGGTTTGGAATGAGTTTTTAAAAAGAGTATAAAAATGTATTAGAAGAACTAAAAGTGTTTCATAAAAATATATTACAAGACAGTAGGGAAAAAAGACGACAATCTAAGACAATCTAAGATAATCTAAGACACTCTAAGACACTCTAAGACAATCTAAGACAATCTAAGACAATCTAAGACAATCTAAGACAATCTAAGACAATCTAAGACAATCTAAGACAATCTAAGACAATCTAAGACAATCTAAGACAATCTAAGACAATCTAAGACAATCTAAGACAATCTAAGACAATCTAAGACAATCTAAGACAATCTAAGACAATCTAAGACAATCTAAGACAATCTAAGACAATCTAAGACAATCTAAGACAATCTAAGACAATCTAAGACAATCTAAGACAATCTAAGACAATCTAAGACAATCTAAGACAATCTAAGACAATCTAAGACAATCTAAGACAATCTAAGACAATCTAAGACAATCTAAGACAATCTAAGACAATCTAAGACAATCTAAGACAATCTAAGACAATCTAAGACAATCTAAGACAATCTAAGACAATCTAAGACAATCTAAGACAATCTAAGACAATCTAAGACAATCTAAGACAATCTAAGACAATATAAGACAATCTAAGACAATCTAAGACAATCTAAGACAATCTAAGACAATCTAAGACAATCTAAGACAATCTAAGATAATCTAAGACAATCTAAGACAATCTAAGACAATCTAAGACAATCTAAGACAATCTAAGACAATCTAAGACAATCTAAGACAATCTAAGACAATCTAAGACAATCTAAGACAATCTAAGACAATCTAAGACAATCTAAGACAATCTAAGACAATCTAAGACAATCTAAGACAATCTAAGACAATCTAAGACAATCTAAGACAATCTAAGAAAATCTAAGACAATCTAAAACAATCTAAGACAATCTAAGACAATCTAAGACAATCTAAGACAATCTAAGACAATCTAAGACAATCTAAGACAATCTAAGACAATCTAAGACAATCTAAGACAATCTAAGACAATCTAAGACAATCTAAGACAATCTAAGACAATCTAAGACAATCTAAGACAATCTAAGACAATCTAAGACAATCTAAGACAATCTAAGACAATCTAAGACAATCTAAGACAATCTAAGACAATCTAAGACAATCTAAGACAATCTAAGACAATCTAAGACAATCTAAGACAATCTAAGACAATCTAAGACAATCTAAGACAATCTAAGACAATCTAAGACAATCTAAGACAATCTAAGACAATCTAAGACAATCTAAGACAATCTAAGACAATCTAAGACAATCTAAGACAATCTAAGAAAAAATATGTAGGAAATTTATAGATAATTTTTCAGAACCAAAGTTAAACTTTACCAACAAATTTTTACAGCATACCGTCAACCCTATTATCTGTCAACAATGGACGAAATATAAGATTTCATCTTCTTTCTTCTTTTTTTTGTAATTACAATCGTTCCAAAAAGGCTGGTAGTCTAATGGACTCTTACTTACGTTTTGGGGTTATGTAAGCAAGCAAGCGAACAAGCAAGCCATGAATGATTTCGAAAGTTCAAAGTACTCGTGCGAACCGATATGCCGCGACTTCAAGATGCGTGGTTTATTTTGAGAAGCAGCGAAAATACATTTCCAATAATAAAATTTGAAATTTGTGTTAAATTGGTCTCTTTAATTGAACGTTAAGGATATTATGGATCTAATTTGTATGGTAATGGAATGAGTTGGATTTTGATACTTTAGAAACCGTGGGATATTGTTAAAAAAATAGTATATTATACCAGGTGTCCAAATTAAAGTGTTACAGTTAAATACCGCCGAAAATACACATTTTAGAAAAAAAGTTTCAGACAAAAGTTTTATAGTTTTTTGGGGGAA